CGAAGGCGTAGTAAAGCCTTCGGCGTTGATGTCTTGGAAGTTATTTACGAAGTACTTCTGGCGACGGATCCCCAATGAAGTAAAAGATAGAGCTGCCCTAGAAAAAAATTTGAATGGCGGCACCTTCAATTTGCACGAGTTGATTCTACCGTTGCGACGGCAGACTACATCCGCGAGAGCGAGCCTTCGGCTCCAACATTTCACTATCGCACTACTGCAAATCGACGAGAGATCGAAGTGCTGAAGTTTGAATCGGCAGAAGCAGCTATTATGCGACATGGTACAATCCGATTGACCGCGCTGAGGGTTCCTGAGGCGGGATTGCGCGCCTATTGTAATGAGTTAATTCATGTGAAGCTCGATTTCTTACTCTCGAGATAGAATTGGGTATGGGCGGCGATGATGCAAGAATGAGATTACTATGACACTCCGAAACTAGAGGGATATCGAGGCAATCCCGAAACTTGGCAAATTTGAGATTGACCAAAAGTCATGGGATATCACTTGGATGAGGACGGCGACCTTACTTTTGATGATGACAGTGTCAAAGTAACGCGGGCCGAGGAGAAAACATACGAGGAGTTGTTTAAGAAGCCGCGCACTTGCAAGATCGGGTACCGAATCACAGAGTACCGTGATCAATACAGAAGAAATGTAGCAGTAGCGTTGATGTAGATCCTTCGACCCTCCTAGACGACGTACATGACGACTTGGCAGGTTGGGTTTGTGGAACAAGCATTGAGAGGAGATCAAATTCACTAGGCGCGGATACTATGAACTGTCACGAGACAACACATTGGTGCACTTACAGGAAGATCGGCTAATTACCTCTTCCCTTATCTGATTATGTTCTTTAGGGGACTATCAACGACCGTAGAGGAGAAGAAGTTTCCGCTGCAGACTTATGCGCAGGATGATGACGAGATTCTAAGTGCCAACAAGATCGACACCGACCAAGAAGAGGTGCAGCTTGCCTTGCCTTTGAGAAGAACAGATGGATCCAAGGACAGAGGAAAAGAGCGACCGTAGAAGAGAAGGAAGTTGCAAGAGGTCGGGGTTTTGGTAACGCTTGATCAACGTACCAAAAAGCGTGATCGTCGATCAGTCCCCACCAAGCTCATATTTGCTAATGTGCTAATTGAAACGAAGATGAAAGCCCGGCAATTGATATTGGAGAATGGTAGTAGCACGGAGAGTAGCGTTGTTGCGTCGCAAGGCCATCTCACTTTGACAGAATGGGCGGAGTTGGAAGCTGAGGCCGCCGGAACAAAGGAAGATGGATTTTTGAAGAAGAACCTTCAGCCTTCCGAGTCAAGACCTTTGGTAGCCGTGAAGAGCAGTGCACTGAGGAAGGACAAAGAGAAAGTAGTAGTGATGGAAGAAGAAATCCAGGAGCGGAATCCAAGCCCTTCGGCTGAAGCTGGAGTAAGTGCTCCTTTCGAAAAGCCCTTATAATTGTTGACTGTGTCATCGGACACGGAGGAGGATCCGGTTGCATTGGAGAAGATAAAAAGAGAGAGTAGTTGAAGGAGTAGCAGAAAAGGCTACTCCGCAGCAGCCAGTGGCGTCACCTCGGACGTCCACAGGGACATATTGGAGAAAGGAGAAGATCCTTCGGCAGAGTAGATTCAGTTGGGAGGGGTCAATACAGCGGACGTGCTGTGTGGACAAGTGGTGCATTAACTCCAGTACCTCGATAGCAAGTTGGAGAAGTATGTTAGGCCAACCAATGTCGGATCTTACATGGAGCTAGTGCGTAATAGGGTGGCTGCAACTAACGCAATCGTGAAAAAGGTGTAGAGTTTGACCGTAGAGCATGCTGCGGCTAAGACCTCGCTGGAGGAGAAGAAGAAGCAACTCCATGAGTCAGAGTCGAAGTACGAGGTACTTTGGAAAAGGTTGGCCGAATAAGTAGAACTGCGGAAGTCTTCGGAACAGACATGTGACAGTCTTCAGGTCGATATTGAGACTACCAGACGACCGACAGTTGACCTTCGGGATAGACTGGAGGCATCTCGGGTGGCCTTTAATGAGAAGTCACGCCGAGTGGACGAGCTGATTGCGGATCTGATGAAGAAGTATTAGGCGCACGCAGCAGAGTTAGCAGCAAAGGTGAAGGCTCGAAAGAAGTGTGAAGCGGCCAGGTCTTTGGAATTGGAGTTGCTAGACAGATTGGAAGTCAACTGCAATGAGATGAGTTCTCAGCAATCATTGACCGAGGAGCAGTTAAGTGAGATGGAGGTGCAACTGTCGGAGGTGGAGAAGAAGAATCAACAGTTATCGAAGCAGACAAACAACACCTTGACTTAGAAGGCAAACTGGTGCCTGCGAGGCTTCGTGATGTGGCAGATCGAGACTCAAAAGTGGTTGCAATTGAGGAATCTGGAGTGTCGCGTGACCGCAATGATAGCGTGTAGTGTGAATGGGCAACGTCAGTTAGCTAGAAAGTTAAATGTGTTTCTTTCCAATGTTGACAAAACGAGGGAGAACTTGGAATTGGAACTGACGGCCGTTTTGCGTAGGTTAAGATTAGATCGGAAATCAAAGAGCGCGGCAACTGCCGGTTCTACATGCGGTGCGCATGTTTGAAGCTTGCATCATAGCAAATGACATCTCGGATTGTTAGTTAGGAATAAAAGAGCCCAAGGCTTCGGCCTTGGAGAGATTCTCGATAGTAGTTTTCTTACTTTTGAGCCTGCATTCTGTGCGTGTCTGTGAATTGAGAGTTTTGTCACCGTGTGAGAGGTACTTCGGTTTGTTGAAGATACCGCATCCGAAGTAGTAGCCCAGTTTGGGTGTTTTGAATAGCAAATGGCTAAATCATGATTTAAGCAAATTCGTAATTTGAAGCTCCGTGTAGCTAACTTAGTGTATCCTCCGGGAATTTTTCCCCCTGAATACTAAGACAGGGTCGCAATCGACCTTTGTGATGCTTGATTAGAGAAGTTTCATGATGAATGTGTGATTTACGCTACAATGTGTCTCCTTCGGACTTAGCACCTGCAGTATTTCTAGGAGTGACAGCTGCGTGAGAATTCAAACTCTTCAATAGACGATTAATACGTGTCACTTGTTACTCTTTGTGTTGTTTCTGTCCTCGTGTAATCGGATCTTTACCATTATGCTGCATTTTGGGTTTTATCTTTCATAACAATTGTGAAGATCCCATGAAACGCTTCACATCACTATGATCTATGCATACATTTGAGATTGCAAAGCACTTGTAGATTGTATATATATTGCCCAATATTGTGAGGAAAATAACTACCGAAAGCTAATTAGAAAAACCACATGCCAATTAATTGTAGCGGCCATTCAAAATATGTTATTCATGGTAATAGAACATAAATGTATAACACAACTACTAGTAGGCAAGAAAAATGATTTTGATGAGATTTTACAATCCACAACCGTTAAGAATACGCTGAAGTGTAATATGAGTAATAAGTGTCAAAGTTACAAAAAGATCTTTCGTCTAGAATGAACTTTAAGCATCATATTGTCAAACTTTATGGTTTTTCAAGTCTACTCTGAACTGTAAAATTGGTTGTTTTATGTGCAAAATTGTAGAAGAATTACTCAAAGTGTTGATCGTGATTAGTTTACTTATGATTAATTCTAGCTAATCATGACTAAGTTTTGCCATGATGTCTATACTTGGTAAGAGCACAATTCTAGAAGATTTGAGCAAACATTGCTTTTTTATCTTGTATCAAAGTTTAGATTTCAAGAAGAGAAGAACTTCGACTATATGTTGGTTTTGATAGATTTGACTATGTAATAAAAATTTCATTCATTAGATTAAGTCTAAAACCCTAAACCCTTAGTGGCAAGTGAAGATTCTAAAATTTTGAAAGCCTCAACGGCATATTGCCACTTGGAACATAGGACATAAAAGCTTCTAGAAGATTTAGTTAAACCAATTACATGTTGTCACATAATAAGAATTATTCAAACTTATCATGATTTATCTTAGTAAAAGTCAGTTAAAGAATAATTATACATGGTTATTATCATCTGACCATGTATTTCTATGATAATTTCTGAAATAATATAAATAGAGAGATAGAGAGTAAAATCTTTAGCAAGTTTTAAAATTTTCATTGTGCAAGTAATTGTTTCTTCAATATAAGTTTGAGTTTCATTACATATTTTGAAGTATTGATGTTTGTAATAAATTGAGAAGTGGAAAGATTGTGTGAAAGTCTACTTGAAACACAAGTTTTTGGAACACAAATTGAAAATTTCTTTTGATTCAAAACCATAATGAGCAACCAAAGTCATCTACTATACATCTAAATGAAAGTCAGTTCAGAAATCACATGACAATCTTTGTCATCATCACAAGAAAAGTTGTTTGAAGAACTACATATCGCAAAATCTTCTACAACTCTAGTCACTACCTTCCTTAAGCTGGCTTTGAGAACAACATGAATAGCATATTCTTGAATCTGTTATTCCAAGAGGAACTGACATAACAAGGATCATTGACAAGAGGCCAAAACTATCCATTTTTTAATATCATGTAATAAAATGTTTCACAAATTCTTCACAAGCATACACAAAAAAGTCATGTAAACCAAAAGAACAACACGAATCTACAAAAAAAGTGTACAAAAATTATGACAAGTTTTTTTAATTGTGACAGCAAAATTTACACACTAATTATGATGAAGATAGCTAAGCTAAAACATACCTGAATTTATATCTACATTGCCATGAAATTCAAAGCTGATATAAAATCTCTGCCTTTTTTGAAATGTTAGATTCAAAAACTCTTTATTGAAGCTACTAAAAAAATGCAGAAGATGAGAGGAGATTACAAGCTTCTGTTGAAAAGATTCAAGCATAAAATCTATACATAGAAAAGAGCAATATTATTTATGATGAAATCAATTTAACTATATCTTAAATTGAATCATGTATGGTACAGGTGAAATTCCTGGAGTATACAAGTGATATGCCTAGTTGGCCGTGAAGTAGTTTCAATTCCTACTGTATCAAAAATAATGCATTGGATAGATGCCTAGGCATTGAGAAGTATGTACGCTTTCAAAGGCGAAACGCCATGGGGAGATATCGTATGTGATCCATGGGTCTCCAATCGGGAAACCGTATCCAAGCGGAAGCGTCGCATTAGTGTGATGCGCTACGCCTTGGACTTTCACAACTTAGTGAACTGAAACATCTAAGCTACAATTTGATTGATATAGACATTTTTTTGTGAAATAAATGTAATCAAAGCATATTTTTGTGAATCTTTAGAAAATTTATATGAAACAATAAGTTGGCTTTCAGTTGTAAATGCAATAAAAATTCACTAGTTTTTTGCTTCTTAACTGAACTTTAAAATCTATTAAAAAAAATTCATATTTTTTAATATTCATTCAAACCAGGCGTGTTTACAAAAACACGCTTTGAGCAATGCAAAGGGTTAGAATTTTGGATTTAATATTAAACAAAGCGTCAAATTTCTTAAACTAAAAAAACTAAAACTAAAAACTAAATTCGTTTTGAAAATTGAATTTTACATCTATGTGTCATGATAAATCTTGAAATTTCAATCACTAGAGTCTTTCCTTACTTTCATTTCTTTTGCTATCATAACATATAGCATTTTATTTGTTTATCAAACTAGTCCGTTACTTATTGATTTGTATATAAATGTAAACTTGTGTTTGATTACCTATCAATAATCAAATATTGTCAACGCTTTTTTTTAATTTTATTTGATTATTTGATAATAATTTCAAAAGATATGTCAAAGCAAATGATCATGTCTCGGTACAAAAATTCTATTATTTTTTTCTACAAGAAAAATTAATTAGCAATTTTTGCGATTTTATGAAACAATTTGTAGCAGCAAATATAAGAAACTTTTCATTTTTTAATAAATAATAATCCGTCAAATAAATATTTAATATTATAAAATATTGATTGATCTAGTTGTGATTGATTGAATTGTGACTATTATTTGATATCAAATAAAGACAAAAAATTTGATGCTAAAAATAGATTTATCTATTTTTCGTTGACCAATTTCATTCTTTAACCTTTTGGACTAATAATAGACAAAAATTATTATTTTTCTACTTTTTCGCAAAATAATCTTCTCAAAATCTACCAAAAATACGTCCCATAATAAATATGAAAGAGCTGGTATTCCTATCACACAATGAAAAAGACAATATCATTCACAAAATTTGACCTGTCAAGATATTAAAACAAAATCTTATGTGTCACTTTTATTAATTTTTTATGCTTAATTACCCAAAAAATTCACTCTCTCAATCTGTTCAATATTATTTTACTACTTTTTCTCATTCCATTATCAATGTCTATCACCATCAACATTGAATAATAAATTTGTCTTTAGAAACAATTCTCGTTTTTGTTTTATTCACGGTTCAATGTACAATCTCCAAGTCAAATTTTTTGAAATAAATTTAGAATAAAAATATGATACTATAATGTTGGTTTGTTTAGATTTTAGTTGAATGATTGATGATCATTCCGAGCAAGTAGTGTCATAATTTCTCAACGTGAATTTTCTAGCCTAGCCACTCTTACTTGGCAACCCTGTAATTCATCTCTACCAACGCAAGTTGTCCATGATTTTCGAATATCGCCTCCATCTTCGTCAAACTGACCTCATGTTGCATCTAATCCTATTCTTGCTGCACCCGCTTAAATAGTTTCTCTCAATTTAGAGTTCGTAAAATTGTCACATAGAGTAATGTTTGCTTTAGTTTCACAAAAGCTTCTAAAACATCCTATATAGCTTGCCAAGGAGATTATGTTTCTTCAAAATCCTAGTTAAACATTTAGTTTCCAGACATACCTCGAAATGAATAAAAAAATGAGCCCATAAAAATGCTCTTGTCCCACGTTTGATAGTAGGAAATGATGGCCTACAATCGCTTCGACCTTCTCCAAATCGATACCGATTCACTCATTTGAACGATGTGACAAGGTAAATGTCGAGGTGAAATTACAAGTTTTACTTTTTCTGAGCGTATTGTATGTCCAGACTGATCTTACCCAAAATAACTCTCTCCAGCTTCTCCAAACGTGAGATCCTATATCCATAAACTCATTTGGGATGTATTTGGTAAGGATTTTGCCTTACTCCCTTAGCATCTGACACAAGCTCAATCTTGAGCATCGCTGACATAGCCTCCCACATATATCTGTAATTGAAGGCAACAAAATGATTAAACTTACGCAAAGGTTTTCAAAAAGGTTCTCTTGTGAGGAAGTAATTCTCTGTGCTTTAAGGATGACGGTGAAATGAAAGAAAGTTTCCGAGCTACACGTGATGTCCGTTCATTATTGGTATCGGCTCTTCCCGTCAAGCGTGGCCTGAAATATCTCCACTGCACCTTAGACAAATATAACCTTGAGTTTAACCAAATTTCCAGCCATTTCCTGAAACGTAAAGTATCAGGAACTCGCACCTTTGGTTCAGCAACACTACTCGACTCTTATCGGAATTTGGCTCGAACGACTATGTCAAGATTTGAGATCAACTTCAAACTTCATCAACGGAAAGGTCAAACCACATCTCAAACTCTGCGGGTACTCCCGAAACAACGGCTCTCTACTTCAACAAAACTCGAAAGATGAGACAATTCGGAGGTTGCCAAGTAAAGGTCATGAAACTTGGAAGTATTCGATCAGGGCTCACTCATGAACGTCATGGACGAGAAAAATGGTGTACAATGAGAGAACCTGAGCTGCAGAACTGCATGACATTCTTGACGGGGTAATAAATTCTTGAAACCAACAAATAAGGAAACAGGCAATGGGTGGGAGGCCGACAGGATAATACATAGGAGTGTGTAAAGAATTCGCAGCCGAGGATAATACACCTCCACGTTTATTCAACAAACTGAGTATCTGCTGAATATACAGTGGACACAGCTCACATTATCACAAAGACTCATAGTTCCTGGGATTCGTAGCTGACTAGAAAAACTCAGATCCTAATTAGTATGTAAATCCAAGTTTACACACTCGTTGTTTGGAAAACATGGACTTCACATACTACAATATGCGCAATGGCTGAATATCATAAATACGTTGTTCAGGAAGGAAAGACACCCGAGTTGTGACTCCAATCCCCAAAACGTTGTTCTCGCTGGCCCTCCGGGAGAACACCAACGGATTTGCGTGCACTCTGAAGTAGAAGCGATGGCGGGTAGTGCCACCCATTCACTTGGACCACTCGTCTGTGTGAGGGCAAAAGCATTTACTCCTCCTGGTCGATTGAGAGGTGATTGAGGTATCTGCTGCTCATACAAACAACCCAATCTCGCTCATTGAAAATAGGGAAAAATACAATATGATTCCACACTCAATGCCTACGATCGAAATTCGACCCTACAGGATTTGAGATGCCTAGACTCTCCACGGCATTGAACTAACAGTATCTACAGTTTCTTACCACTGCAAATAGGCTTAAGAAGTATTAGCTGTGGAAGCAAATGTAGCATTCAAGAACACATGCTAAAGTAGCGTTGCTTCTAGACCACGTATAAGGATCGTTCTTCGGTCACATTGTGAAACAGCCTACGACTGTCCAATCAGTTTCATGTGGCAACAAAAGTGCTCATCATCCATCTCACAATCCGTACCAAAGGCATAGAGGCTGAGGGAGGAGTAGCAAAAGCCTGATCGCCTTTGTCATAGCTTAGCCACCCACCACTCCCTGCCCCCAAGATCGTAACATTACAGCTCCACTAACACCAACAATGAACCTCCAGGCACCAAGCAGACGCCAGACAGTGATCTCCCTTCAGTTTGTCACATCAAACATAGTAGAGAAGAATATCAACACATTTTCAACAGATTTGAAAAAAAGTATCTATCATCGTGAATTTCTCAGATCAGAAACCAAAAAACCTGAACACGTTACGTGATCACCACGTGTCTTGACGGCCTTACTGCCTTCGTCACATCTATGCTAAGAATCATCTGACATGGTTGATTCTGATGATTAACTACAGACATGTCCACAGTGAGGAATAGATACTCTTGAACTATCTTCGAGGACTTGCTACTAGACAGTGGTGGCCATATCTTTCTAAGAGGCAGTTGCATGCAAGTTGAGGACCTACCAGATGCTCAGTAAGGATCAATGTCATGGTATGTGAGGACATCAGGCGATATGTCCACCAAAAATGTTCTTGCGTGTGTTGGTTAACAGATTATCTCACAAGGGCAGTGACCTGGTCAACTTTGTTGGCAGAGAGACCTTCATAAAATTCGCAAGACATTTACTCAACTCTCCCTTAATATCAGGCTTCAATAACAGGGCTCGTATTCTACAAAGAATAACTCTGCAGCACCCAATTTCGAGCAATATTGGATGCCCCAGGGTTGGAAATACGTAACAAGAAGGAGAGGAGAAGGCGGCGGCAGTAGCTCCTGCTCTGACGGATCTGGTCACATGGCCTTTACTCAGAGTCACTGTCTACACTGCCCATGGCCTTCAATCCCCTTGGTTTCTGCAAGATTCGAAGTCACACATCATTGTAAGTACTAGATTGCCGCAAAGTGCAACTCACAACGAAGAACCTTCAAGTGACAACTAAAAGAAGCATGCAGAAACTGACCTCTACGACTAAATTTTGAGGCCGGGGCTTTCAATACAAAGAGCACAGGGATTATCGACCAACATGAATACATTATTCGCTTTAGTTTGAATGAGATAAATAACGGTTAAAACTTTGAAAATGTACCTTCTTCACGGCTTTCTTCTCTCGGACTTCGTAACGCTCCCGAGTCAAGTCACACAGCCATGTTCCGGGGCTGATAAACTGCAAAGCGAAAAGCACATTATTAGAAGCAGACCAGTCGTTGACAACAACGGCGACCACACTTCAAAATTTGCAGATCTACATGAAGCTACTTATTATGACTTAGAGACCAAAGAACTGAAACTTACATTGACATTCTTCTCGACCGCCTTCGGTCTCCTCTTCGGCCTTTGGGGAAGTTTTGTACCCTTGATAGTCAAGAAATCATCTTCCTTCTCCTTCCTGGTCAAACCCAAGACGATTTTCGGCCATTCGAAAAAATCCAAGTTCATCTTTTCGGGTGGTTGAGCCTTTTCCTGGAAGAAGTCATTCTCTGGTCGCCCGTGGGTAAAAGCAGCGGGCGCTGCATTTCCACCATTTACCCCACTGGTGCTTGCAGGACAAGCCGAAGCCTTCTCCGGGTTTTCAGTCAAAACTTGATGATTTCTGGAATCATCTTTCTCAGCGGCACTGGAGCGTAAATGTCCCGTGCTCGTTTGACCATGATTGTGGTCGCTGTTGGGTACCGCGGACGCAGAGGCACCAGCTCCTTCAACAATCCTGCAGGACAAAGAACAAATGAGTACCAGATTCACAAATCACCGGACAGACAATTCTTAAAATGAACTCATTATCAATCACTTTTTCATTCGTTTGGTTTTCCTCACTACCACTACTACTGTCAATCGGCGTTATCCATCTTAAACGTAAGAATGACAATATACTCATTTCTATACTTCCACTGTTACTGCAGAGGAGACACAATTTCTAAATTAAAGTGATGAAGTTATTTTCTTGTAAATATGATGATATGTACAAGAAATTGGCAAAAACGTATGTACAAACTGGTCTCGGCAGTGCAAACAGTAAATTCTACTGCGGTACCTTTCTCCACTCAAACTCAATCAGAACCAAAATAGCTCCGTATCTCACCTCTTTCCAGATCCGGAAGCAGGTTCTTGTGTGGTCACGTTAGATGGTCTCAGAGAGTTTCCTCTGGGGTGGGTGGCGGGCTGTGCAGCGACCTGCTTATCAGCTCGTACAACTCGTCTGTCAGCTCTGATAGAAGTCTTTAGAGTCCCATTTTGAGACTCTCTGTAGCGTGGTCGCTTCCGTTGGCCCCACTGAAGCAGTGTCTCTCTCTCCCCATCTTGTGCTCTCCGTTTCTGACCCTCGCCTTCATCTTCTTTCACGTGATTCTCGTTCGCCTCTGGCGCCTTATTGTAGACATCTTCCTGCACCTTGTTGTGATTGTGGTCCTTGTGCTCTTTCTGCTCCTTATGGTCTTTGGAATCCCTGGCGTCCTTGTTATCCTTATGATCTTTGTAGTCCTTGTGATCTTTCGTATCTTTGTGGTCCTTATGATCCTTGTGGTCCTTGTGAAATGTCGAAGAACCCCCCTTCAGCCGACCTCCAGGCATCTTCGCTGCAGGTTTATCCTCGTTCAAAGCGAAGCCGTCTCCAACTAACCGTCTACCATTCTCAACAAAATCGTCGCTCTTGAGCGCTTTACTCGACGCCTTCTTCCCTAATATTCCTTGTGTATGTTCTGGGCTAAGCACCTGCTGTCTGCAAAAGAACACGAGCGACACGACAAGGAGTTTCAGAACGACGATTCACTTCGCTTCGGCGCTACGAATAACTTGCGACACACGATAACCCCATGCACTCACTCATTGCAGAATCCTCCACATGAATCAATCCCGCTCTACCTCACAATTGCTTAAGACCTCGCTATTCCTCCACAACGCAATGTCAGAAAGGCCCCCATGTTTACCACACCTACTCCTAATCGTGCAAGAATCAAGAATGCCAGATTCAGTTCTCACATTCTTTCTTTCATGGTCGACGAACTCTGACGACAGTATTCGGCTAGCCAAACTCGCTTAACTTGTGTAAGCCACTAAGCGCAAACCGTTCGCGAACCACTTGATGCGTGGAGAACGTGCTACACTTGAGTTGACAACCCTGAACGGCAGACCATGTCAATGGCTCAGTTCGAGTGGCGTTCGGCTAAACGGTCCCATCGCACTGAGCACGTCAATCTTTCGGTTGAACTGAGAAACAACTACAACTCAGGATAACTAAAGTCGCCTTGAGCAGGATCACGATAAATCTCGTGGGTCAAAATCAAAAGGTCAGTTTCCTCTCAATGGCTCGAACTCGTCGACGTATCTTTCCTGATCTTCGCACAAGTTGAGGAGGAAACTTGCATCTCTCTATCTCTCGCTCGCGCAAGCTCCAGCAGGAGGGCCACAATGCGAAGCCTAGCACTCTTTTGTTCAGGTTTTGCTTCAAACTTCACTGCAAGACAGGTGCTCGATTGCGCCTTCAGAAGATGAGGATGTTCAAATAAGGATCGAAACCCACTTCGTGAGCGCAGCCAACAACAGCCTCACGCCGCTTCCACCCCTACTTGGTCACGAACTACTTGGTCATGGATGAGGATATGTAGTCCGATGGCAAGTTCAGGCATTGACGACAACTATTCGGAAACCGTGGAAAGAGGTGAATCATTCCCGTACAAAAGTGAACTTGACGGCGTGAGGTAGTAACTGGCATCGAGGACGGACTATTCCAGAAGGCCAGGAAAAAACTCAAACACTCCAGTCTTGGATAACGCAGAGCACCCTCCGCCACCGAGAGTGACCATACGACGAGGGAAAGGCAGATGGCGTCATGTTTACATCGTGTCAAAGAGAAGTACACATTTCGAAGGAAGAGAATCAACTCAAAGGAGCCGCTTCGGTGAGAATGTAAACAAACGGATCCTCCCGACCATCACATGGTCCCGTGAACAGCATTCCACGCAAATTGCTTATAGGAATCCGCGTCGAGGCTTATCGTTGGGAGCCACTGAGGGAACAATTCACATGGGCCACCTCCGGGTGTTTCGACCTGGAACTGTGACCAGAGAAGCACGCCAAAGCTCGGCGTCAGGAAACAAGAACCATAGCCACTTGAAAGAAGATTGTATCTATCCGGGAGTCAATTTGAGGACCCGCGTGTGGGAGCGTGTTATGTCGAACCGGGTCAGACAGTGCAGCAGACAAACCTCATCGCAAATGGTGGCTGACAACTCCAGGTCTAAATCTCAGCCTTCGTGTCTGTTCAAATATAGTTCTGCAGAGCAAAGACCGCATAGGTCGCATCCACGAAACAGAAGGTTCGCTCCTGCACACAAAAGGCAACAACCTATCCAATTAGCATTCCCCTCTCACCGCAATTCCACCCACTCTTCACTCTCTTTCTCACCCTCCACCTCCAGCACCCAGACCCGGCACTCTCGTCGCACGCTCTCTCAAGCACCTTTGGTCTCACATGCGCACACTCCTCTCCCACCGCAACCTGCGAACGATAATCGGAGGAAAAAAAACACTCACGACACAACACTCCACGCCTATCACCATCCAACCCAACCCAACCGGCGACCACACACAAACAAAGAGGCGGCTCTCACCAGCGAAGTCGCCCCCGTCTCATGAGCACGATCGCCTTCTATTGAATTCTCTTCGACCGCGCACTACTACGTCTCATATAACCTCCTCACCTCCTCTTCTCTTCCTCTCGGACTCTCGCTCGCGCTGATCCCAGATCCCCTCCGCCTCCCGCTTACTTCGTTCGTTCCTTCCTTCTCAATCGCTCTGCCCTCGCTACGTACTCTCGGCAATCCTCTCGGCTCCTCTCTCGCGGCTGGTCTCCTCTCGTCTGGGCGTCACTCATTGCTCTCGCCTCGACCCACTGATCGTCGTCGCCTGTACTCTCTTCTTCTCACCACACTCAGTAAGCTTTCATTGCCTTCTCCGCTCCTCTCGTCACCTCGCAGGCCTGCGCAGCGCTGCTGGGCTCGCTCGCTCTCTCTCTCTGTCTCACTCACGCGAGCCTTTCCTTTTCCTGCCTCGTCTTCCCTTCCCTTCCCGTCCCGTCCCTTTCCGTAGTCTCATCGGCCCGTCTCATCTCTCTTCTCCACTCCGCTCCTCAGTTCCACGGACACCAGACCCAGGGCGGGGCCTCGGACCTTCCCTCCCGGAAGAAGCACAGAGAGCGACAGCAGGCGGGCCGCCAAAGTGGCGGAGTTGCTAACCCGCCTCTCCGTCACTTTCTTTCCTACCGGGCATGCAACGTAATGACCATCGCTTTCCCCATCCCACCCACTACGGTAAGTCAGACAGACAGTACAGCGGGACGCACCGGTTGTGGAGGTGCTGGCGCTGCACCAGCGCTGCAGGCAGACAGGTCCCGAGAGAGGGCGATCGCGACCGGTAGGGTACCGCCGGAGACCCACCTACTGTATTACTATTCCTGCTGGTTGGCAAATATGCCAGCCATTCGGAGCAGCGCCCCCAACTTTGGCCATGCACCGGGACGGAAGATCTCCCTGCGCGTTCCCCGTCCGTCGTCCGTCCATCGGGGCACCCGTGTTGCTGTGCATGGAGGGTGCCATGCATGGCATCCTCAAATGCATCTTTCAGTTCTCTTTTGAGTCCCGAGACGTCCAGGGCAGGAAGCTGTGTTCCGGAATTGTATGTCTCTTTGAATAATTCACTGACATCCATCATATGCAGGCTCGCCTTCCTCGGCCACAGTATTCTACTCAACACGGTCTATATGCGGACGAGTCGTAGTCTCCCACTCTCATCACTGTATTCGGAAGCGGATCGCCCAGATGACTGCAATCAGAACTTTACAGTGAGCTTGTGCTATGAGGTCGTTAGTGTCACCATGGAACCTTTAATTCAAAGCCCCAACTATCCACCTTTGCCTTATAAAAGCAAGGGGAAACGTTTCGAACAGAGAGAGCAAAAAAATATCCATCGTATGTCTATGTTTCATGCTTTCTGAGAATGGTTGGAATCCGTATATCTCCTCTGACCACGATGAGGAGACAACATGTGAGTGATAGATACATAGGACGATAGATAATATTCCGAATCACCTCGTCCCCCACTTAGAAGATTATCGATGGGGATCCTGGTATTGAAACAGAATATGTGTCCTTTGAATCGTAGGTGTATCAAGCATGTCTTTCACTTTAATCACCTGAACTGCAAAACAGTGAGATGTTGCATTAGGGTTTGAGTACATTACTGGTTAACAAATGCAATATACAGATAAATCCGTTTACGAGAACCTCTTTCTTCCACTGTTCTATGTCCAAATCTCAGCATTGCAACCATTCAACGTAGCAAACAACCAACTCTTCATAATTGGTTGCAACCTGTTACTTGAAGTGACGCGCTAGACGAATATCTCCTGATGATTGACACGCCCAGTGTTTGCAATTTCCACCAACAAGCTAAGACTGGCTCCGAGGGAGCAAGTTGAGAGGACCTGCAACAAATGGATCGTAGGTCTTTCGACTCTGAGGGATCACAGCTAAGTTCAAAAGTCGATGGACCCAATGAACACGAGTTGCATGCCAGCCCTTCAAATCGAAGGACAAGGACGGACTTGGATGAGCACCCAGGAAGGTCGGACTGAGATAGCGAGGATCCACTTTCTGCTATTCAGGAGGGAAGCCAATGACGGGACATCAGAGCTCCGTGAGTGCCCCCGTCCATGGCAAATGACGAACAAATCAAGCCGGTATAATTTGATGGGCGGATAGGGAAGGGCCCACCGCTAATCCTTACGTGGTTCATCCGAACCTCTAACTAATTTCGATTTCGTGCGATGCTGACCTTATGTTGCTAAAAGTATTTCCCCACCGTTTTACGCTAATAAGAAACAGTAATCGTTTGTACATTGACTGCGACCCATTGGTGATGTGAAGTGAGTCCTTGCTTGGGATCTGTTCTTTCTTGCTTTCAAAACTGTCGTCTCTATCACACCATTGACCTCATATGCGTCGGAAGAACGTGAAAGTCTGTGTCCAGGGCACTGTTCACTTGGCTGTACGGGTTAAGGAGGTCGCTCGCATGTACCGTACGTCTAAGCACGAATGGCACAGTTGATGGTATGGATGCCAAATTCGCTTTTCATCTCCTGTCATTATTTGAACTCACAAATATTCCTGGCCAGCCCGTTCTCCCATCTTCGAGTGTGGAAATTAGGGTTTTCATTGAAATGTTTCTTGTTCATTAATTCACGATGTATTCATTTGAGCAACAGGCACGTTGCTCTCAGACCTCTGCAGGGGGTTTCAAGAGAATGCAATTTTCTTAGAAAACAACTTCAGTCGAAGCCAAGCCTGTAGGTTTGTTCTGCTGAATTGTGATACATGTAAAAGCCGAGGAAATGGTGGACAGAGAATGGTCAGAACTCATATTTGAAATCTGGCTTCGCAACCGAACCAAAAGCAAAATGGTCCAATTTTTGACTTTTTATTTTCGCTGTTGCAGATCTAGCTATTCAAGAAATATCCGGAAGAAAGAAACAAAGTTTGGAAATCAATTCTAAGAAACTAATCTTATGGAAACATGTAGTCGTATCTTCAAGCGATGAAGATGCTTACAATAACTGGATGAACACTGGGTCCTAGGTTTCAGTAAAAAACTTTGACATATTTAACTGACTGTAGTTGCGAATACACTATAACTAAACGAGGTTATCGTCAAGCTAGTAAATGTCGCGTGGACATACAGAGTTCGGTCACATCCGGGATCATGAAAAATAATATTACCATACGTAACCTGCATCTTAATAACGAAATTTACCTCAAACACTTAGAATTAACATTCACTCGTAACTGCAACATAAAGAGAATTACAATCTTGCAAAGTTCCACATCGACATTTATATTCACGTACACAAACCTATATGGAAGGCTCTCATGTCTTTCAAAATAACATCATTGTTTATTGTAAGGTATAAGTTCCAGTATTACTATAAGAGTGGCGTAAATGAAATGACTTTTATTACAAGAGATTTTGGATCTCTTATATATATGTACCGAAAAGAATGGGAATTTTTTTAAGGATAAAGCATGCCAAAATTTTCGTAGATTCAGAAAATAAATTACAGACATTTTCAAAAAAACTTGAAGACTACAAGCATACAATTAAAATCCGTAGATTCAATAAAATTTACAAATTAGTTTGACATTTTTTTACTGATTTATTTTTTATTCAAAATAACCTTAGAATATTTAATGAACGATTGCAAGATGGAATACTGTATTGGTATTGAAAATCAATAAGAAAAAAAACATGATACACTTAATCAAAGATGATGGATCATAACATTTCAACACTTTGTTACATTCAATTATCTCCGAAGAGGAAAATAACTCAAGAACACATTGATTAAAGTAAATTTATGTAAAATTTAATCCTGAATCATGACTTCTTTGAAAAATATTCAACCACATCCTTTTGTGATAAAAAATGCTCATAATGTATCCCGTTTTTTTACATTCAAAAATTCTATCTGATTTATTGAAATATAATACTTCAATCAATAGACATTTATCTTACTAATAATTGACTTCAAAATATATGCAAATTTTTTTACTCGCTTTTAAAATAAATTCAAAATTTTAAAAAAATTAATTGAGAATTCTTCCTTAGAAATTTTTTATATTTTTAAAAATATCATTACTTCGTTAATATATATATTTATATTTTTTTTGAACATTTTAATACATAAATTTATAATTTCTAAATTTAATTCTTATAATTATCAATTCATTTCACATTAAAAATTCATAAAATTATTTTTAAAATATATGGATATCTGGAAAGTTGTGAAATAATTTACAATGCAAATTTCAATTTGAAACGATATGATGGCAACTACAAGAATCAAATTATTATACACAAATATTGATAATATTTTTCAATTAATAAAGTAAAAATCTTAAATATGTCACATGCTTAAATACAAATGCAACTTTTTCTACTGATGTCAAAGTTATTTTAACAAAACTAGGTAATTTTCATCAGTTTTAAAGTTCTATATCAATTATATTTTGTCTAAAATGTATTATTAAAATTCATAAATATCGGAATGGAACACTTCAAGTGATCCTGATTGCATTTTTATTTGTATCTTTGTAACCAATTTTTTTTAATCACTTTTTCTTAAAAATAATTTTTTTTAACTATATATAAAAAACTATATAAAACCTGTATTTAACTCTTATACAGACTGATTATATTTATTTTATAAAAATAATTTTGAGTCTATCACTCTAGTGTATTTGTAAAACTACATTTCCGAAAAACTATTTGGCATTGATCATATAGATTAGCACAATACAAAATGATTCATTTGGTTTTTAATTATAAAAACTTAAAGATTTTGATTATAATTCTACAAGCTTAAAAGGTAAATAAATAACAAGATAAAAAACTTGGAAATTAATTTTTTTAGCACAATCTTGATAATATGTGCTATGTACATAACTATTTCAAATTTATTTTTTAAAAAATTAAATTAATATAGATATTAAAATCATACCTGGCTAAATGAAAGTTAAATTTGCTTTAATGTTTTCATGATTCATCATTCAAACTTCAAATGACATGCGAACTATCGTTTTTAACTTTTAAAGTATGAAATATAATCCTTTTTTAACCAAAACTAATATTTATAAAGTCTGTTGTTGAAAGTATAGCCAATATTATAAAGCACACCATTTTTGAAATATAATTTTATGTTTCAAAATTTGCAATTTGAATATTTTTATATCAATCAAAATATGTGTACAAGCCAAAGAAAAAATCAGGAACATATACATAGTCAATGTCTTTGTATTTAAGACGTTTCGTTACTTTTGAAATATAATTCAGTATTGTTATAGAAAAAAAATGAAAATGTTGTTAAATAACTCAAATTTTTCATGCAAAAAAGTAACTTTAACCAATTATTTTATATTCAACCTATATTTCATCATATTATCATGATATATGAGGTTTGCAATTGAGATTCATCCAAATTGTGTGTTTAAAACACAATCTGTGATGTAAATGATTCTCTCGTTTACCTTTTCGAAATTGTTAGTACACATACTGTGATTCATTTCCTTGAATACTGATTTTCTTATGAATTCATATGATAATCATTTTCTGAAAATATACAAAGATATATTTTTCTAAATTTTAGAATAATTCGTTATAAATACACGTGGAACAAATTGAAATATTTTCAAAATAGTTATTTTTATATTCTCCACTCAATATTCGTACGGAATCTTTCAAACGTCCCGTAAAAATCAAAGCAGGTTTCATGCTAGCAGTATGAATAAAATGCTAGGAACAAATTTGGAAATAAAGCTTGAAAAAAAAATAAGACGAGTGCATAATTAATTTATGACCGAATATTAAAAATGTTTAATAAAAAACTCTACATATATGAAAAATGAAAATAAATGAAAAAAAACATATTGAAAAATGATTTACCGTCTCAAAGTTAGTTTCTAAAGTTTATTTTTTCTATCAGAATGATATTTGATAACTAATGATATATTAATATCTATGCTTATAATTTCAAAATTGATCACATAAGATAACAACAAATTTTAAGTTTTATATCACTTTTTTAATATTAAAAATTGAAAATTATATGTGGATTAATTTTTTCATGGATACATTATCAAAATTAATAATAAGAATCTGATATTTTAAAAAATGAATTACATACTCAAGTAAAGATATACCTTGAAAATTCAATGTTTTAATCTACTATCAACAATTTATAAATCATCTCAAAAAAACATTGTAATTATTCTAAAATGTGAAATTATTTTATCATTGTTATTAATATTTAAAGTTGTACATATTGGAGCCTTGATGATTTGTTCCTAATTTCATATAGATTTAGTTTCATTCTTTCAAATAAAATATTAATTGTTTTTTTCAAAGTTGCATGATTATAAAGAAATTAGGATATTTTACATTACAAATTTTTCTATTGGTTTTACATTTTTGTATTTTTGTATAGCATGTTTTTTAAGAGAATATTGGGCATGAAATCATTTGATAAAATTTTGGAAATAATTTATGTGATAAAGAATGCAGTGAATGTATAAAATAAAAACGTTCACAATTTTAGCGAATGTTACTATTCATTATAATAATATATGTGACTTAAAATATTTTTTATTGATAAATTTAATTAATAATAATTACTTGTTCATAAATATATATTTTACACATATTTTAAATGGATTTGTTAGTTTTTAGATTGTAGACTATTAAATTAATATTATAATATCACTGAAGATTTCAAATACATTTTAGCTCTCTTTATCTTTAAAATCTCAAAATATTTTGAAAATATATGTATAAAATTCATTACAATTTAACATTATTTTTGAAAGTTGTATGGATACAGATTTGTGAGCATTTTTTAATAATATTATTGGATGATAATAGTTACATATCAAGTCATATGAAATTATTGGGTTTTTTGTTTGCTACAATATCAACATATATTTTCTTATTTGAATAATCATATTCATTTGATCATAAATCACTTGCATTGTATGTAGATGATTTCATGTAACAATGATTTTAAATGTCATAATATCTTTAATGGCACAAAATATAAATGATTGAATCAATTCATACATTTTGAAAATATTTCAACATGATATTATAAATAAATGGAATTTTATTGATCAACCAAAATAAAAATTATACGATTTTCTCTATGAATAATAGAAAATTTTAGAATAAAGAAAATAAATAACTTTTTACCACGCCTATCATGCATGTTTTTTTAATTACTATCAATTTAATAATTGTTTTTTTTTGACACATACATTAATCTTCATATTGATTTAGTCTATATTGTATGCATTGAACATGCTGATTGAAAAGAAGAATCCACGCTGACTCAAATGCCATATTGTGTTTCATAATCATATGCCTAGTTTTGATTGATGAAATTCTTTTGTTGCTTCCGCATGTTTAGGATATACCGGTATCTGATATATTCTGACAGGTTTGCAGCGACACATAGGAACAATGTAGCCATCAAAACATGGTGCGCAGCTAATATCAACTCTTGAAGAATATATTTAATTCTTCACTTCCTATAAATAAGCTATATCTAAATTTGATTAAAAATAAAATCAAATTGTCGATCACGAATTCACATATCTGTTTTCTTGTCTACTTTTCCCCCGGGATATGTTACTAATCCTTTTTGCTATATTGCAATCACAATTTACTATTCAATCGGTGTCTTTTTTTAAGATAGACCCAGCACCATTTCAAGGATGATTAATTATGGAAAGAATACATTTAGGTCTAATTAAGATGACGCTAAGAACATTATAGTGGTGGATAATGCTTACAAAAGTCAGATCCAACGATTTTTTATTCAAAAATTGTGATAAATGGTGAATATGGTGTATAAATTGCTGGCCACCCTATTACTTAGCTCTAAAAATCAAGAAGTTGCGCCTCACAAAAATAATGAATTGTAACAAACCATCAATCTTCATAAAATTTGTACAGTATTCTGAACGTGGAGGATGACAAAGCCCGCAGATGTCATCCAGTGAAAGTACCTCGTACATTGATCGGCCTTCGCGAGGATCTTCTTCAACGGTGGTACCCTCATGTGCTTTTCAAATACGTGGTATCCGGAGCCAGGAATCTTCAGTAGGGTCGAATTGCGAATGGGGGCAAGCATAGAGCCGGTTTAGGAAGTATCCGTCGCATCCGATTGCCTCTTATACTGGCGTAACATCTTTGCTTGCAGAAGCAGAGAGTACCGAGTACATACATACGGGACGGACAGCAGAGAAGACAGAAGGGAAAAAGCAGGAGACCAAGATACAAGTGATAGAGCGCCGTGTTGTTCTTTTCGAGAGTTTTGCACTGTCTTAACGAGTGTTCGAGGAGCTTGATCCTTGCGCCTTCAAGAAGAAAGCAGAAGTACGAGGTTTGTAATCGAATGCTCGCTTGGATCGAGGACTAAAGAAGCCGGTGGTCGACGGATGGGAGAATTTCGTGAAGGCAGTGTAAAATAAACTGTGAAACGCACGAAGCGCAAGAAGAGCAGGAGAAAGAGAAGAGAAGCTCCGGATACGATGATGGAAGGAAGCGGCGGGGCCGTGTGAATGGCCGGCCTTCCTTCCCAGCAGCCTCAAGGCCCTGCGGCAGGCCGTGGCCGTGGAATGACAGTTCCCGCGTGGATGAAAGGTTTGTGACTTCCTCCGCCAGTCGTAGGGTTCCGATGGCGTTTGCAGCTTGATGGTCGTGATTATTAGAGTGGGATGGATTGCATTGAGCCTGTCGTTCTGTACTGTGTTGCATGCTACCTGGCACGAAGGTCGTTTTGCTGTTTTGATAGCGCAATTGTAATTGTTAACCATCCGGTCATGTTAATTGCACGATGCTGAAACGGTTCAACATACTGTTGCTCAAGTTTAGGTCTGTTAGCGTGAAACTCTGCTTGCCATCAATTGCTATTTGCCTTGTAGCCGCCCAAGTGGTTAAAACCAAGGTGGAATGCATAATACGGAATGTGCAACGAAGCGACGGAATGACTGAAGAGGAAGAAATGTCAGACACAGAGTATATAGCACACCGAGAAGTATCTGCCCGAGCTTCCTGAATCATGTGGGTGGCGGCAGTATCGCCCCTGCACTAACGAAACCCGCTGCTAGTACGCAACGCGGGAATTGTTGCAGTAAACCGAAACGTATTTCTTGCTGGACTGCCTAAAGGAAGAAACAGGTGCCTTGTAACTTTCACCTTCTGGTATTCAACGAGGGACCTATTGCACTTCGGTTCTGGAGATCATGAATTTCTCTTAAGTTAAGTATGGTGGTTGAGGGTAGGAAGTATATAGTGTAGGTATCAGTAGGTGGATGAGAATTATACCTGTGGAATCTATTTCTATGATTTGTGGTCGTGCTGTAGTTTGTCTACTGATTTAAGTTTGTTCATGTGCTGGCCTGAATGGAGGCCCAAACTTGCCATGGCAAAGACAAGGCGACACCCACCGATTTCGTACTTAGAGTCATGCGGGAGAGCTGAAGGGAAGCTGCATTGAATCTTAAATTTGGAGATTCAATTTTTTTTAAAAATATTACCTTGCTAGTTTGGAGGAACTTTACATTCACTTAGTAACCCTGACGAAGCTTATATTTGCACAGAATATGAGAAAACATCAAATTTTATGCTCGGTTTTATGGGCCAGTGTTAATGTTGTGTGACCCACGCCTTGTCTTCAATCCCACTGCCACGTTCAATTTTCATCCACGATCTCTCACTTATCTCTTTTGATTTTGTCTCTAATTTAGCTGCGAAGAGCGCTTGTCCGTAGTTCTCCCTGGTCTGTCACGAGCATTACAGAAGCTCATGACGAGGGGCTCTGTATCTCATCGCTATCCAGGTGCTTTGAGTTCATGGTCCGCGAAAATGAATGTGCGGCGTTGAAGTAGCACTGTACACTTGCCATTGCTTACGTCCTTATTTTTGTTCTCTGCTTTATGGTTCTTACTCTTATGCTACGGTCTTTCTACTCTGTCTGCTTCTACCATAACCTCCTCCATACTCTATATCTGCACCCCATTTTTGAATGTTGTTTTCTCTTATGTGGTTCATTGAACTTTACTACATCAACTTTTCACTGTCTATATTCTTTGCACTGCACATTATTATATGGATGCGGCTTGGTGTGCAGCACAACGATCTGCCCAGTCATTATAATTTGAATATGAGTCCTCAAGGATTAACTGCTCATTCTATCTGTTCTCTAAACCCTATACTACACTCCCTCGGTTCTCGTTTTTCGATTTCTGGTGACCTTCTCGTCTTGTTGATAGTTTGACAGTGCTAGGCATTCTTTGACATAGATCTGGGCAACCGTCATCAACACTGTTTTTGGTTTGTTGGGCTTCGAATATCCTGAACCCCGGGTTAAGTGCAGAAGCCTCTATATCTCGTTATCCACCAGTGAAGCAGTCGAGCGTAATGTGACGGTAATTTGGTGCTACCAAATCGAATCTTGTAGATGGCCAATGGTCTTCTTCCGACTCGCTATTTCACACTGCTCACTTAGCTCTACAGTATTTTTATATCCGCAGGAGAAGCCCCTGCTTTCGTGGTCACTACGAAGTGATGCTTGCCTTTAAGCAGTCGGTCATAGCCTTGGCTGCATCTGCTGCGAAGCCCTTGTCTTGCAGTTAGGATGCGTTCAATGCGTGATTGTTCAGTTGGGATGCATTATGTTTCATCTTTTTGTCCGTCGCTGCGTTTCTAAACCCCAAACTTTTTGTCTATGCGTTTGGTTGTATTGCGTATGTATATCTCGGGATCGTCAACAGTTTTTTTGGTTGTTCCTTGCCTGAGTTTTTGGCTGGGTTGCTGTCTTCTCGTTATAAGCTCTGGAGATTGCTTATGTGCTGCTACATTACTTGCCAAGTCAAATGAGTTTTTTGTTTTCGGCTTTTTGGCACTTCGGTTCATCAAGATCCTCACAGTTTTACCTATTTGTCAGTAACTCCTGCAGGCCCTAGTCCCCCTGCAGCTTCTCCAACATCAGGTCCTCCTCAAGCCCATATTCCTGGCAACACACCACCTTCTGGACCTTTGGTACGTCACTGCATATTTACAGCAATTATCTGCAAGTCAATCTTTCAAAGGCTGCTACTGATTAGGCAATCATTCTACTCAAACGAAAAGTCGTTGTGGTTTTGAGACGGAAAAGTCGTTGTGGTTTTGAGACGGTAATTTACGATGTGAGTTTCGGATGTCTTCTTACAGCCGCCACCACGAATGCCTGGACTTGGGCCATCAGGGGCTCCGCCTAATTATGGAGTCCCACAAATGCAGGTAATATTTAAATACTGATAAAGTCATTACCGTTTTTTTTGGGAACTTATCTGACATCTATGTCCACCTTTTTGACAATATCATTTATGTCTGTATGTGTGCAGTTTCGTCCACAAGGTCCACCTCAACCAGGTCAACAGTTCATGCCTTCTGGTGGACAGCAGTATCGTCCAGCGGGACCTCCGCCGGGCATGGGTCCTCCTCAACATGGAATGCCTCCAAACATGCAGGGAATGGGCCCTCAACAAGGCATGCCTCCATCCTCGCAGCCATCACAGTATTCGCCTTCACCCATGCAGCAAATGCTTCCAAGACCACCTCAACAACCCCAGCCTCCCCAGTCATCACAAGGTCCTCCTATGTCTTACCCACAACAGGCGCGGCCGATGGCAGGCGGACCACCACCTCAGCAACAGCCTCAACCACATGGGATGCCCCCACCGTCAGGACCTGGCAACCCTGGAATGCAACCACCTTCTTCTTTTGGTGTAAGTCCTCCTATTGCAGAATATCTGTGAACTGCGAGTCATGACACGTCCCACATCAGTATTAAGGTGCATCATCACGGACTGCTTTTGGCATATCTTCTTTATGCATCAAAGAAGAATATCATAACTGCTGAAGTTACGTCTTTACCTAGATATGGGTTAATATAGTCTTCATTATTTACTCCCATGATGGTTAGACGAGCTTAGATCCCTACTTTCTTTCAATTTTTGCCGTGAAAGTTATAAATAAACACCAATAAACAAGAATGCGATCCCGACAAAATTGCTCATCTGTGTATCAGTAATAAAAATTTAAATAGATCAAGTGAACGCTTTTCATTGCCCTATTTCTTACTCACGTACAAGGCCACCAACTGTTTTGCCTCAAGTCCCCTTCCTTACAATCCAAGAAAACTTGAGGCATGATGCTGTGTTATCTCCAGTTAGTTATCAATTTTGCGACAGTCTCTATGCGTGGGCTATGCAGACAGGTTTTAAGATACCAAAAATTTCGTGTAAGATTCATTCGTTTGTTTTCTAACTATCTTGGTTGTTATTCCTTGGGTTTACTCACCACTGCGCAGTAGTAAGTGCATTCTTAAGAAAGTTAATCAGGGTATAAGTTCTGGAGCCTTCAGATTGACTCTCGTATTTTTTTGAGTTGTTGTATATGTGCAACTTTCTTTTCGTTTCATGTTACATGCTGTGACTTTGAAATAGATCCTTATCAGTTAGGACTTGATAACTACTTTTCATGTTGATTTCTTTCATATAGAAACTTGAATATGTATGTTACGTTGTGCCATCGTTAACTTGATAGTAATCTACTGTTAAGTTTATGATTAGAAACTCTCTTGATGGATGAACGACGTTTAGGTTGTATTCTGAAATTACGTCATGTTGTTTGACTGACTTGCAGTTTAATTCGTCATTGCCTTATCCCCAAGCCCCGAACTCTTATGGTATGACGCCACCCCATTATCAAAGTCCAATGCAGCCTCAGTCTATTCAACCTATGCAACAAAGTAGTCAGCCATGGCCTATGATACCTGGCCAAAGTATGCCTCCAGCTCTTCCTCAGGGTCTTCAAGCAGCTGCCCAGCCGCCTCCGGCAGGAGCATCTTCCTTACCTGTGAGTGTATTGCATGCTCGTAATTGACAACTCATTCCATTATTTTCTCATATCAGCAGAGGTTAGAAGTTAGTGGCTGAACTAACATCTTAATCAGCGCTTCATATTCTGTCTCATTTGATTTATGGTCTCCGGTCGTTAATGCTTGTGGGACAGGGTGCCACTGCTCTTTCGGCTCAGTCAAGCGTTCCTGGACCTTCTGACTGGCAAGAGCATACAGCTCCAGACGGCAGAAGGTAAGATTTCTCTCAACTATTGCTGTTCACGATGTGTTTTGCTACCGCAAGAACCTATGCTCTTTATTAACGGCATGTTAACTTTGGTTTTTTGCATTTGTAGGTATTATCACAATAAGAGGACGAAGTTATCTAGCTGGGAGAAGCCAGTCGAACTTATGACACCAACCGAGGTGCGTAGGATTGTCACTTTACAAGTCTCTTTGATAGGAACTTGGGACTTGAGTCTTGGGTTTAATTGCATTGTAGCTCACGACGGACGCCCAAATTTTGTTTTGGAATTCTTGGATTATTTTTCTGTAGATTGAAAAGTATGTTACTGATGACCCTCTCTTATCTGTGGCCTTTTTGTTTTTGGGATGGTAGGCATTGCATGCTTATTCTTATATTTGTTTATGCTAGTTACGATAGGTGATGATCATGTTATTGATTGCTACGTTCCAGTTATCCGTCTTAGAGTTCTATTGTGAGATCCTAGTTATTGGACACGATGACATTTGAACCGAAGCAAAGGACTGAGGTGGACGAATTCTTTCCAAAACAGCAAACAATTATGAATTAACAAGACTCGTTTTATCTAAATAAAGCCTTCTGACATTTTGCGATAGTGCTTTATTTGTGAATCTTTGACATTCGACCCTTGAATATGTATATACAGCGTGCAGATGCTTCAACTGTTTGGAAAGAGTTTACGACAGCAGACGGACGGAAGTAAGTTTGGGTTTCCCTTTCAGAAGTATCTTGTGAGATTATTAGTTGGTCTTGGGCTAAAATGGCTCATGTTTGTATGTGTGTGTGTTTGAACATTGAATTTACGTTTTGTGCCGGTTTCATCCTGCTGGGACTCCCGTGGTTGTCGAAAGTACATCCTGATTGATTGGGGGATTTGTATTCTCCTTTTCTTACTTCCATTTGTAAGGGATCTTCCGTCATTTCAACTTCAAAACATCGAAAGCCCTAACTTCATTTCGGAATTTTGGAAGTCTCACAGCACTAACACGCTGGGATCAGTAATGTCATTTATAGCCATGAAAAAGTCGATGAACACTAATCAACTACTCTTGTTAGAAAAATCACAGTTAATAGTACAGATTTTGTCCTTCTTAGTCTGAAGCCTTACCTGGTGGTGTTAGTATAAAGCGTGAAGATGTTAAAGTGCATTTCCCCCCTGCATCTCTCCGTTTACACAGGTAAACCTTAAAAAAACAATCTAGACTAATCTTTATGACACAGTGCATGACAACAGTGAGATAAAATTTGTTATCAGTGAGAGGAAAAGAGTCATTAGCCTCGAAGGACCACTTACCTTTTGGAAGAGGACTTATAAGAGCCGATCCGTTCTTTGTAAGAGTTCAGCGTCCAATTAATTTTTGCCAAACTTTTTGAAAACTGTAAGTTTTTTGTGATCGAAGTGCTGGAGTACTGGGATGTATTCTCGTCGGGATGTCCCTCGTTGGATGGTTGTTTTAAATTGGAATTTGTGAGTTCTGAGCCGAGGTCATAAAAAGTATCTCGTACGTTATATGACTTTTAGTAAACATATCATATAACACTTACTCCCCGTGAGTCTTTATCATGTTGGAATTACAGTATTTGATTTCTTGTTGATTTAGCATTTTCCGCTCGTCTTTTTTCTGATAATCTAAGAGTATTCTTATTGACGAGAAGTTATTTTTTGTTGTTTTATTTTTTTGTAAATTTTTTGTTGCTGGGAATGTTTGATTGCTGTTCTTTGCTCTTTTGACCTCTACATGCATGTTTGTTACATCTTCAGGAAAATTGAACGATGAATCTGCAAATCTTCAGAAATCAGGTGGAAGCGCGAACTCTCTAGTCTGAAATCCTCATCTGAGACTTGCTTGGGGTTGTGGTTTGTAGATAGAGAATGGACCAAATGCCAGGCTGTATCTTCAAAACACGAGGTGCAAATGTTGACTGTTCTATTTGCCTGTGGTATTTTTTAGCCGCAGCCCGGAAATCTCATTGATGTCTCTTGAACTGCCCGGGCTTCAGGTTGCGTTAGGTGTCTTACGGGCATCTGCGTAGTTGATCCTCTGCAGCCGCAGGAATTTGAAATTATCATCCTGTTTTGTTCTTATGATGTGTTCTAGCTTCATCATGGATTGCCATATTCTGTGCAGTCCATTTAGGAATATGGTGGAGCCGTTCTTTTGTGTTGTTTTGCTGTACTTTGGACTACCAAATTCTCTGGTGGAGCCGCAGTTGTCATTCTTTTATTCGTGTTTGCCTGCGATGTTGCTGCAGCACAGACCGCCACGGCAATCCTGTCCTCATTAAAGAGCAGGATGCATTATCTTACTATTGTATTTGCATGTCGCGTATAGATTCATCATGAAAATCGACACAGTTTTCGATGATTTGCTACTGGCAGTAGGCTTAGTAGTCTTCTGGAATTGTTATCAACCAGGAATGCAGTATAGATTGCTGCTACTTGTCAAACCCATCGTCCTTGGAAACGATGTTTAGTATGCGTTGTGGTTACATGCTCTTGATAGATGACAATTATATATGGGTGTAGACGGGACAGTGAGCTAAGTCCTGTAGCTGGAGAAGTTTTGTAAATTTCTAATCTTCTTCAGTTATCTACATTGATATATTGTCGATGATCAAGTGGACTTCATCAAGGGGGTGTGCCGGGTCATGGTATCACAATTTAAACCACAATTTTATGTCTTGCTCTTGGTGCTCAGATATGATTTATTTAGTTAAAAATACCGATATAGGGTTTGAATACTTCACACTTAAATTTTTAAATGAAGCATCTTTGATGCTCCCGCTACAATCTGTAGATTATTTGGCTCGGTTTTGAGGTGGATGGGGACTTACTTGACGTTTCCTTGCTTAGGGGTTCCTGTGACTACATTAAGCGTGCACTCATTTCCGTTTGATCTCCGTCGGTGCTTTGTGTATAATGCATCTACTGTTTTCCATTACGCCTTATTTCGGGTCCCGTTGTAATTTTACCGACGGCGTGGTTTTAGCAGACCCTATATTTCTAACTCTAAGGACAACTCTCTCGCTGTTGAGTGCGGTGGCAATTTTTCCCCCTATGCCTGGTTGCGTTGGTTTACATAGTCGTCGAAATTTCCAAGTCTGCATATCCGTTAAACAGGATGAATTGATTTCTTATGGAATGTATCAATTCCAGTAGGTTAGTATGCCGTATTATCGTTCCTCTCGTTCCTGACTCGGACAGCACGTATTGTGTCTTAGATCCACTCTCGCGATTGAATTTATTTCTCTAGGAATCACGGTTATGTTGGCATTGCAGCTTAAAAGCATTACACCTGAAATTGCAAGTATGGTTTACTGAGGTCGGAGGTAGTTGGAGTATTAATACCAAAAGTTGAGTTCAACGGAAAAAGATGCTTGAACCGAATTTCCGAACCATGCTGACTATATTGAAAGTACCCATTCCGCTCTGGTTGTCGATATTAATCCTGATCGATCAATTTTGTGTAGGTATTACTACAATAAGAATACGAAACAGTCAAAGTGGACGATGCCAGACGAGATGAAGGTATTCACAGTCTAGCACTTGTCGTATTCAAGCTACAAAGAAATTTCCAATACATGTATCGATGTAAATAAAGGATCAACTGTATATGTGTGTTTTGAATCAGCAATAGATAAGTATGTTCAATTTGTCGTTTCTTGTGTGGCCTCTTTAGCAGTTCCCAACTTGGCAATGCTGCACAAAGGACGAGAGAAACATGCGGTAAAAAATGCCGTTGTATATGACAAGGCTGCATATCTCTATGAGATAAACTTTTACATCTCTTGTGGGGGCATTCGATTAACCATTCAATATTTCTGGTTGTTCGTTTCTCAGTTGGCGCGAGAGCAGGTGGATAAGTCGACAGCAACCACTACGTCTGGATCCTCAGTCGCTGAAGTTGTGCCCCCGTCGGTCACTCTTGGAACCACACCCACTGGAACCAATCCAGTTTCTTTTCTTCCTCCTGCGGCATCTCCGAAGCCCAGTGTTATTGTAAACCCTAGTCCAGTCTTCTTGACTCCACCTGTAGCACTACCTATTGCACCACCTGTTACAACAGTACCTGCTTTTACGTCCTCCACACCAAGCGGCATTCCCCCCTCTGTTGCAGCTCTCCCAGCGGAGTGAGTCTCAGGACTCTTCTTTTTTTTTTTGGTCGAAAAATTATCATTTAATTTTCGAATATGTGGTGTCTGTTAAAATCAGAAAAGGTGGTATTAATTATGTGTTGTAAACTTCAGACACTCTTCGCTGTCTCAGCTACTTCTTGACACAGAGGGCTCACTCCATTTGAGCTCTTTATTACCTGCATGCAAAATGACGTTTTTCTGTAAATTTGTTAGGTCCGTTAAGGAGGATTCAGTTGAAACTAGTGCGAAAGAGGAAGCAGAGGAAACGTCAGCACAAGATCTCGAGGTTCTATTTTCTCGCCAGTTGTCATTATTCGAGATGAGTTCACAATTCATTTATTTAGGACTTCCATCAAAGAAATAATTTCTTTTTGTTTGTTTTCGTACCTATGATATATCCAACAAAATTGTAATGTCGGAATATGTCGGTAAATGGAATATGCAGGAGGCCAAGAAAGCTATGCCATTAACTGGGAAGATTAATATCACTCCTTTCGTAGAAGAGAAGCCTTCTCCAGTTGCCGAGGAACCTTTGACATACGCTAATAAGACGGTAAGATTGGTCAGTTTATCCGATTTGAATTTTCTTATCATGTCATGTGGATGTGGTTTTTTGATCTCTCAGATATCTGCGAGTATGGAGGTTTGAGTTTCATGTGTACCCTCAATTCCGTCAAGATTGGAGGAATTTCCTGATATGCATGTTCGTCACGCTAAGATGTTTTACAGGAAGCAAAGAATGCCTTCAAGGAGCTGCTTGAGTCTGTTCACGTTGAGTCCGATTGGACTTGGGACCAGGTACGGTGAATGAGTATAATAACTCGACTCTTTCGCTCGGGGCCTCTACTGCTTCGCCGCTTGCTACACTTGCGTTATGTAATCTGATGTTTTGCCGCCTCTGGAATAGTCTCCACTTCACAATGATATCTCAGAATTTACAAGCACTCAAGACTTGTAACCGAGGCTGAAGATATCAGTCTAGATTGCAAAGATTTTAATTGTGAATCCCACTGAGTATCTGCATAATAACCCGTAGTAATCCATGTCTTCCTTCAAATTTATATTAGCAACGGGAAAATCAATTATCTGTGAGTTCAGGGTGGTTGACCTTTTCATATCGATCACCATCAGTTTAACCCTTCTGATTATCACTGTCGCTTGGTTTTGATGAGTGAGTCGTCTAAGAAAATGATTGGTTGCTTTTGGAACATGCAATTTGGTATTCATTAAATAGAAGGTGTTGGTTATGTTTTGCAGGCTATGCGGGTCATAATCAACGATAAACGGTATGGAGCTTTGAAAACTCTCGGTGAACGCAAACAAGCTTTCAATGAGGTAAGTGAGTGAAGCTGGATGCTTGAAGAAGGCGTTCCTATCTATATAACGTGTTCCTATCGATATGACGTGTGCCTTATCTCTCGTGCGTTTATTTGCTTGTTCCATTCAACAGCTTTGGAAGTCTTGATTGTCTGTTGGTCTTTGAGCTATATGGAACCCCCGGCGAAAACCTTCCATTCTTTGGATGTTGGCGTCCTTTTAGTGTTGTAAGTTATTTGTATATGAATCGGAAGTGGGAAGGTTTATTGTGATATTCGTATTCTGTAATGCAGTATTTAGCACAACGCAAGAAGTTGGAAACCGAAGAGAAGCGACTGAAACAGAAGAAGGCTCGTGAGGACTTTTTGGCCATGTTAGAGGTATAATTCCAGCAAGATGATTATGAGCAAGTAAATATGAATTATATACAAAAGCTTTCTAGACAGGAAACTGATTTAGACACAGCTTTAGTTTTAGCAAAGTTTTGCATCTTCCGTGTATCAGTTGGATGGACGGGGTTCCACAGTTCTTACTTGCAGCTGGTGTGCTACAGCTTAGGTGTTTATTCGAAACTCTGAGCGCTAGTTATCTCTGCGTTGTCTATTGTTAGCGCGGTATCAACAATTGATGAATTGAGTCATCCTGAATAATTCTTTTCCAGTTTTCTTACTGGAGGTTCTACTCTGCAAATGTTTTTATCACGTGCAGGAGTCAAAAGAACTGACGTCATCCATGCGATGGAGGTTTGTTTCGTTCTTTCATAAGCTTTATTTCGAGATTTATTTTTTAAATGAATTTATTTGCTCATTCAGTACTGTAGATTCTGAATACAGTAAAATTGATTATGAAGGTTCTTGTCAGCTTAATTTATCGTTTGAATATGGTGTTGATCTTATAGTAGTATACCACTTTGATCAGAGTCAGAAAATGGAATTTTGACTGTTAGACAAAGAATGGAAAAAAACGATTCTTTCTAAAAAAAGAAAAATATTGACAGGAAGAGTGACAAAAGTAAGAGAAAATGGAGATCAGTTGAAGGTTTCTTTTGACCTTAAGGTCATGAAAACCATTGAAATGTAGAAGAGTTTCTTTCTGTTCCTCGATCAAGCAAGTTGTGTTGTTCCTTTCTGGTGTACTCATGGGGCTTCTCCAAATGCGTGTTGCCATCTCTCATAACGGTGTACAGCAAAGCCTTGACCTTGTTCGAGGAAGACCCACGTCTACAGGCTGTTGAGAAGGATCGAGAACGTGAAGAACTTTTCGAGGACTATCTTGTTGACTTGGAGCGAAAGGTAAGCTGACTATCTTTAACGGTGACAAACTGTTGATTGAATCAAATCATTTCCTTTGACGTGTTTTCACCAGTAATCAGTTTGAAATTTAAAATTAAATACAAGTTTTGGAGTCATGGATTAATAAAACAAGCTATTGTGCTATTCAAAGTCGACACAAGTTTTTATCGCAACGTCAGTACTGTGAGATTGTTAATTTTATTTTTTTATCGATCAATTCATTGTGTTTAAACAGTATCACCTATCGCTCTTCAAGGCTGTAATCAATCATCGTGTTTGCAATTAGGATGATTAGTTTATGCCTGATATCTTTCAAGTTTGAATGTTTAATGGCAACGGTTTGACTTTTTTCGAGATGCCTTTCTGGTAGGTGTAGTATGCTATAATAAACTGAGGCATTTATTGCCCCGTGCGTGAGACGGCCGAAATTGTTTCTTACAAATTTGACGTTTCAAGTTTTCTCTCTCAGGAGCGGGAGAAGGCTAGGGAAGAGAGGAAGAAAAATCTGGCTGAGTATCGATCTTTCTTAGAATCTTGTGATTACATCAAGGTGCGTTGGATTTCCAACTAAAAGTTCGTCCTTCTTTGCAGTCTCGTGTTTGTCTCTGACATTTGATGTTTACCAGTTTAAAATATGCGATCTCATTGGCCTGATTAGTTGAATTGCAAATTGCAGGCAAATACTCAGTGGAGAAAAGTTCAGGACAAGCTAGAAGACGATGAGCGTTGCTCTCGTCTAGACAAGATTGATCGGCTGGAGACATTTCAGGTTTACCTCTATCATCTGCCTATTTTCGTTTCATCGTATCATCTCTAGGTCAGGATTCTCTATGAGGATTGCCGTGCCTCTTGTGGAGATCGCGAATACAAACTTGGACCGATATTCCGTGCGCCAGTATAGTGTTCTTTGCAGCAGCTCTTTAACTTGCCTCCTATTAGCCTGCATAGTTTACTCCGTGATGTTGTCGGTTGGATAAGGTATTTTTTCTCAGTTCTTAGGGGAGTTGCGACGTCTCACGTCCCAAGGAGTTTATTTATATGTGTAAGAACGTATCAGAGCTGTTGTAATCAGTTAAATTCTCCCCTCAGGAATACATTCGCGACCTGGAAAAAGAGGAAGAAGAGGAGAAGAAACTTCAGAAGGTGTTGTACGCAAGGCTCTTGTAATGATTAAAAGTTTTTGCATTTTAATTGTGTCAAGCAGTTTATTCAAATAAAGGAAACTGATAGATACCAGTAGTATGAAAAGTACTTATGGGGTTTAGAATGTTTAAGATAAGCTTTTGATCATATTGGGGTATTGTTTCATTAATGTCTAAAAATATTCATAGTCCTTCAGTGCAGAGAAATTGCCACACGTGTTGACATACTGCTTCGACATTGGGAACCACAGAGATTCATCAGTTTCTGGTCGATTTATTTTGAAGTGAATATGCGTTGTCTTTATTTGGATGTTCTGATCTACGATTCAGGAACAACTCAGACGCAAAGAGCGGAAAAACCGGGATGATTTTCGGAATCTCATGGAAGAGCATAAGGTGGCGGGCACGCTTAATGCACGAACTCAGTGGCGGGACTATCTTGTGAAGGTAATTAAGGACGACGTATAGTACAGTCTGCATGAATGTAGGACCCTAAAATGTGTAATGTTCACTCTGTTGCATTGATTTGTTGCCGCTATGTTTACTTCTGAGAGTTGCTTTCCTTTTATCGAAGTGTCTGTTTCTTTTAACTTCTGCAATGTCCCTGCGATCCGCCTTAGTTCACCTTAGTTTTGTTTTCCTTCATCTTTTGACAAAGTTAGCAATAAATTTGCTATAGTGTTAACTATTTGAGAAAAGGGGAGAGGGAGGAGCTGCGCAACTTGTTTACAGGCACGGCACTTCTCAGTGTAGTCGACAAGTTTTTCGTTTATCATGATGATCAGAATCACCCGAATTTTGACGCACATTATGGCGTGAGGTTAGTCCTCTTTAGGCGTGGCCCTTTCTCGTCTCTGTATTAACACTGTTAATGCAGAGACTGCACTAATAGTCCACATGGACGTGATCGAAGGTTCACTCGCAGCTTAGCAATACCAGCGAAAGCTACCTTTTGCCGTCGTAGAGCAAAGTAGTGGGTATTATTGCATTTGATACCGTCTGGCGTAGGCTCGTATATCTCTCTTGAAACGCTGGCTATCCTGGGAACATGACGATGGCGACACAACAATCTTATCTCAGTTGCAAAAGGAGTAAGTATCCTCTAATAGTGCTCAGATAGTGTCCCAAGGTGGCCCTTATGCTTACACTTCTTATTATGATCGTTAATCAAGTACTGGAATGTGGACAAAAGTGGTCTGGGCATTCCTGTGGCGGATGCTACCGTACCCACATATTCGTCCGTCGTAGACTGGACACTTTGGCTGAAAGAATGTCAAAAGGATGCGCAGAAGATTTGGTCGGACATTTTGCTGCTTGAGGAAAACGGTTCAAAATGTCTCGCACTTATCTTCAATGGTCCATCTGAGACACGACTTTCCTTCTGGAAAGTTGCTGATAAAGGTCTCAAGCAGATTATGGAGATTTCATAGTTTTTAATGGTTTCGGGACATCTTAACTGACTCAACTCTTGAGTGTGCTTCCTTCCTACTTAACCCAGAACATAAATTGGAGCAGCAGTATGGATCGCCAGTACCAAGCAATGCGACTGGACGATGGTCCGTTGTACAATTATATCGGCACCCACTAGAATTTATCTTCTTGAAGTAAGATTGATTTTATTACAAATTCGTAGAGATAAGTTGAAAATTTTAAGTGGAGAAGGTAGCCTCATGGTTTTGCCACTTGAGCAATAATCCTGAACTGTCCTGAATGCTAGATGGACTCAAAAAAGCCAGGCCGACATGCAAAATCTTCATGTCGATTCAGGTGTAGGACTCAACAAGGTTACAGATATTGTGAAGATTCGGGAGTCGCTTATAAGAGATATTTGACAGGCTCCTCTAACCTTTCTAAATGGCAATTTATATCTACCCGTGGAAACTAGACATGGTGTATGCAAACCACAATTAAGAACCGTTCTTAGTGACATCGGACCTCGAAAAGTTGTTTCCAACCAGGACTTTAAGAGCTCCTTGGGGATCCCTCTGTATTACAAGAAGAGGAGTAAGGGGAACGATTCCGCAGCTTGCACAGAGCCGCACGGAGGATGAAAGTCCGTTTCGTTATTTGACGGAATGCTGCTCGCTATTAGAAAACGAGAGCATAGCTTTATCGTAATGACCCTTTGCCGGGGGAGTCCAAGTGTTTCCGGAAATTACTGGTATCGTTTTAGAGACTGAAGGAGCCGTTCTGAGAGTGAAAATAAACTGAGGCTTTCATGTCGCCAGGTATATGAGCTAATAACGGTTTTCTTTGTTGGCCTCCGGGAACTCCCAACTGACCTTATTTATGGGAGAATTCTTACCCGAAGAGCGACAGCCTTTCTTTCTGTGTTTCTTTCAACTGTCTTTCTTTCGTTTCTTCTACTCTCTATTCTGTCTTCTCCGTCTCCCCTTTCTCCCTACACTAGCACTACTAGTGTAGTTTTTGAGGCGAGCACATGGACATGTGCATTGCCACTGTTTGTTCGACTATCAATTCCCTAAATGGTGGACAGTTCGCCATTAGTCGAATTTTAGTGCAGCGTTGTACGTGTGCCCAGGAGTGTTAGGGTGGAAATTGAATGACGAAGATTGAGTATCTTTTGGTGTCAGCAGATCAAAGATCGGGTTGAGTACCAAGCTGTCGCTGCCAATACCTCGGGTTCCACGCCGAAGGAACTGTTTGAGGATTTCGCGGAGGAACTTGACAAGCAGGTGCAGGCTGGAAGTCCACATCAGGAGTGTAAAATTTTGGTTTAGATTGAACCAGTATTTCATCTTCTCGCTAAATGCAATATCCTGGGAGATTATGATAGTCTTGATTGTGTGCCTGTATAGCAACCATGCACGTAGTATTTACCGACAAACGTGTTCTAAAATTTTGTAATTCCGCCTCGGTATTTGGTATAATTACAGAGAGATATAAAACCTTCGGTTCCATTCATTGGTTGCAGCGCCACTCGTGTGGTTGTCTTACGGCCGTTTTCTTGGTTTTAGACGTTTTTCTGGATTAGTTGAGCATCCAAGAACCATTTTGTAAGAAACACTGGTGACCTTGTGATATATTATATTTATTTTATGAACACACTTCATGAATTCTTATTTTTTTCTTGGTGGACAGTATCACGAGGATAAGGTGAGGGCGAAGGAAGCGATGAAGGCCGGGAAGGTGAAGCTCTTTTCCAGTTAAATATCTCTTATTTTAAGTGTTTTCTTTGTCATATCTCTCAAGTTTTGTCTGATTTAAATCTCATTTCTCCAGATCTCTGTAACGTCGACGTGGAACTTCGACAAGTTTAAGGCTGCAATAGCCGAAGCAGGTGACTTGGAGGCGATAGCTGAACCAAACCTTAAGGTCAGTGACAAGTTAACTATGACTGTGTGCTGGCTCCCCTGTGTTGACCTCTGTGCAACACGATGTCGGTATAGCTAGCTGGAAAGCTGTCTTGTATCTTACTTGAAGATGCCCGTTATCACTGGAGCGGTTCGTTTTGGCAGCTTCAGCTGAGTTGTCTGAACTACAGCAGCTAGGCAGGTAATTGAATGTGGGCTGCAAGAGGTAAAAGTGGTGGGTATATGTTTCTGGATACATAGTCCTGGAACTGAAACCTGGATCAAAGTTTTCGCTGAACATCATTATGCATGTATTGAAGAAGGTTCAGCTGTAATAATGTTGTAGGTCATTTTTTGTTTATTCCATATATGGTGTCAAAGCCACCGTGTGTGTCGAATTTCCTTGCAAAACTCGACCTTTGTTGCAAAACTTAGGATTTTGTATGCGGGGACGTAAAGCAACACCATAGCTCGCTTTGATGGTGTGTTCTAAAACGCGGTCTTTATGGATTAGACACCTGTCGCGTTTTGGTTCAATTTATGAATTCAGATTAAGATGGGAAGTTGTAGAGCTGCCCAGGGACGGAAAACCACTTTTCTTGTTTGCGGCCTGATTATGTCCCATTTTTTCGGCGGTTGACATTTTTATCCTAGCAGAAATCTTATTGAGTTTCATATGAAGAAGGCTCAATTGAATTGTACCTGAATTGTTCCTGAATTGTTCCTGAATTGTTACTCTTTTCACGTGGGTGCATATGCGATCGAACTATGAAGCTCGTGTTTGATGATCTACTGGAGAGAGCGAAGGAAAAGGACGAGAAGGAAGCCAAAAAGAAGCGACGGATGCTTGATGATTTGACAGATGTATTAAGAACAATGAAGGTGCCATATGCTTGCTTAGTCCCATAATACATGTTGGTTCGAATAGCATCAGAATTGCCATTAGGGATAGAGGAGAAATCTACAATTATCTCCTCTGGCTTCTACAAACAAGAAGTAGCATAGACGCTGTTTAATTCTTTGAGGTTGTTTCGTATCTTGCATGTTCAACATCATTGACTTTTGGTTCTTCTTTGTCCAGCAAGTAACCGCTTCTTCAAAATGGGAAGAGTGCAGACCACTGCTGGAGGAAACTCCAGAGTTCAGGTGGGCGATGGTGTTCGTGCATCTGTTCCATTTCCCACATAGCTTCGTGGATATAGCTGTTAATCAAGGCCATCTGCACTTGACAGATCTTCTTGTGGTTATGTTCCTGCAGAGCTTTCACCGAGGAATCTTCTCGGAAGAAGGTTTTTGAGGATTATGTTACTCACCTGCAGCAGAGAGCGAAGGAAAAGGATCGGAAACGTGAGAAGGAAGAGAAGGTGGGCCCTGAAGTAGCTCAAAACGGGGTGATTTTCTGCTGAATACTTCGATTACTCTGCTCTGCATTTTACTTTTACGTCAACGTTTTATTATGGCCTGTTCTGGTGTTGTCAAGAGACACATCTTGACACTAGTTTGCTACAGTATCATTTCTGAATAAATCGTGTGTAGTTCAGCGCGGAATTTGTACAATGAGTTATTGTGAACTTATTGGTCGAATTTCTCTATCATCTTTACTTCATCAACACGGATTTGCATAGAAGATCATGGTCATTTGCAGATGAATGGTCTTCGTGTGTGATTTTGGTTCATTTTGCGAAAGTTATGTGGAATTTGAAAGTGTCGGTGTTTTTTACGCATCAGAACGCTCTTTGTTAGTCTCTGCTTTAAAATTGACAGTCATGGTTGTACTTCAGTGTGTTTTCATTTTCACTCATCCTCGTTCCTTGTATGAACCAGGCTAAGAAGGAGAAAGAGAAGGAGAAGGAGAAGGAAAGAGAGAGGCGGAAGGAGAAAGATAAGGACAAGGACAAGGACAAGGACAAGGACAAAGACAAAGACAAAGAGCGGGAGCGAGAGAAGGACAAGGATAAAGAGAAGTCCAAACGGGAGAAAGAAGTGGTTCATGACGTTAGCGAAACTGGAAACAATCATGTTCATAAGGAAGAGAAGAAGAAGGATAAAGAAAGGGAGAAGGACAGGGATCGTGAGAGGGACAAGGATAAGAAATACAGAAAACGCCACAGGAGTAGCAGTGAGGATGCCGGTTCAGACAGGGAAGACAAAGACAAGGAGGATTCAAAAAGGTCCCGCAGGCATGGCATTGACCACAAGAAGTCATCTAGGAAGGTATGAGAAAGAAAGACTGATGTGAGGGTACTGGAAACTCCTGATCTTGGTTCTAGTTCAAGGCCAGAGCTAGCAGTATCTTATTGATGTAGCCGTAAGCTTAGAAACTGAGTTTGCGTTTTGTCCTCCCAGTGACAGGCATAACCACCCACTCTTTGGCCTTGCTGACCTGGAGCTGGTCGTATCCAAATCACTTCCCATACTTAAAGAATGGAAACACACAGAAAGTCGTCAAGAACATCAATAAAATTGATGTAACATTTTTTCCTGTCTTTGTTTGTTTTTTTGGGATGGATTGTATTTATGAGCAGCATGGCCATGAGTCAGGGTCAGATAGTGAGGCCAAACATAAGCGGCATAGGCGGGATCGTGATGGAACAAGGAGGAATGGTGCTGCAGAGGAGTTGGAGGATGGCGAACTTGGAGAGGATGGCGAAATCCGATAGGCCCTCCTGTCCCAAAAAACCACCTCTTTCTGTGTGTTTGTTCTTGAGCCTCCCACACTCATATTTCTTTTGATTTCCACCTTAGGGTGGATCAGCATTAGTAGCGAAGGTTATAAAGAACTGTTATTATGTAGACATAGGGTTGTGGAGCATCGACCTTCAGATTTGCAGTTATCCATCAGACTTGCTAACTTTGTGCAATCAGATTGCACGAAGTTTCTCCTCACTTTACATCCATCAAAAATTTCGGAATATCTGCCATTTTTTAGAGCAATTGATGGTCATTTTTTTTGCAAGGTCTTATTGTCTTTTGCGAGTTGTTTCAGCTTGAAACGATTCAGGATGCATCCTATTTGTTGGAAGACACAACATGCATTGTTGATAACTAACCAGATTAGTGAAACGAATTTTTTATTGGAGGTCTTCTGTACTTGTGTCAGCTATCTTTAAAGTACATGGTTTCTTCTGTGGGGATAGCAAATGTTGGCAATCGTACTGCAAAGATAAGATGCCTCACTGAATATTTAACTCTGCTGTACAGGTATGAGATGTTTGATTGAGATGTTCATCTCGTGTTTTTCTTACTGTGCTTGAAGCAATCAAAAGTATATTATCGTTCTTCTCCTGAGTTCTGACAAGATCTAGTTGCTACTGCGTATTGTATTCATCGTTGTAGAAGTATGTGCATTAGCTAATGGTCGACTGTGAGAGTGGTTCTGATAGCAATTTTCTACCTGTAAAAAGTCCACACGTATAGTCAAGCATGGATCCATTTCTATGTGTAATTGGGTTGGGTTATGAAGCCTGCACATCCTAGTTTGGGTTACCGGTGAACAGAGGTTCAAGGGGTGACATGCTAAGAACGGATGGAGCCAGATGGCAACACTCTGGAGAAACTCTTTTGGTGGCAGCTGTCCCTCATATGTCTTTTCCGACGAGGTAAGCCCTCTTGATGAGGTTTGTTATTAGATAGAACTTGGTTTACCTGACCTTGCATCTGCTATACCTTCCTGTCTTTGGCTCTGTTGTCTTTTTTACTACATCAATCACATGGCAAGTTTTTATCATTAGTCTTATAATTCCTACTGACAGTTTGATGATTATCATGTCTTAGAGCAATGTAGAATTGATGATCGCTGATCCGTTTTTATTTTGTTGACCAATATGTTCGTGAGACAAGAAGTCAAATGAGGTTGGAGGTTTGAGATATAATATGATTGCATATCCAGAATAGTTACTCTTGCTTATGTAGTGAAGGTAGTGCTTATCCTTTTTTGATTGTCATTCTATTAGTGCTGGTAATTTTTCCAAAGTTTAACTTCAATTTCCACTTGTATGCAGTGGGGATTTTTTGAAAAAAAAGTATCTATTGTGGTTCTGTTGAGTTGTACCATTGGTCTTCAGGTGCCATGTCAGTGGTAGAACGTAGTAGTCATTGAGGTCGTCTTTTTGGTTTTTCCCGGTGATCATGAGTATGTGGACGTGAGTAGTGCTTGTTACACAATTGCATGGTTCTACTCATATCACAGTTTACGTTCCTAAGATTTGAACGTGTACATAAACTGTGTCTTACTGCTGATACCCGCTGGACTTTTCCTGCTTCTATCCGGCAGAGGTTATTTGAGCAGTTCCATATGCTCGCCGGCCATCTTACCGTGGTCTAGACTCCGAAGTGACGTGGATCTAGAGATAAATTTGCGTTATACATGGATTACAACAACACGGGCACAGAACCTCACGGTGGTGATTTTCTGTTGATTCTCAAATTTTAGCCTTTTTATATAAATCATGCCAACCGGAAGCATTCGACTACCTCGAACTTTAGCCTCTTGAAGTTTGTGACTTTACACTTTTGAATGGTACTTTGGTGGGTCTTTTGAAATTCTGGCGGAGAAATTTTATCTTAGATGGGTCTGAGAAGTACCATTCTTACAAACTCTTTTTTCTCCTGTGTGTGTACAACACTCTGTGGTGCGTTCCTGGACGTCTGGCGGAGGATTGTGATTTGAAAAATACTATTTCTACAGGCTCTTTTCTGTCCTGTGTGTGCTGAACACCTTTGTGAGTTGAGGTTAGGGAGAGGAGTTATTCAATTTGCTTGTTTTATAGCCTGTCATTGATGTTGTTTTTGCGTGGATGTGTATTAGTTACTAATGCCGTTGTGGAGATTTTCGTTTACTGTTGTAATGATATCACTAACTAAAGTATGGTACTTTTGTTTTTTCGTACTTTTTAGACTCGAATATGAAGTTCGTACCTACGGTATTTGTGCACATTGGAGATGATTTTGGGTTCCTAACCTAGTTGTATACACAGTCCAACACAGGCACACGGTGTTGTTTTGTGTCAAGTTTACCCATTTATCTACGGCATTTTATAACGAGGTTCATTTGATTTGGAGCTCAGTTCTCCACATTGTGAAGCTCAACTCACCCGATTTCTACGCCTGCATTTGTACATATACGAGGTGGAAGGAAAACGCGCAACTTTTGCTCCGACATAGATGGATAGAGAATTACAGGATTTGCTTTGGGAGTATGTGTATGAATGTCTAATTAAATAATTATTTAGACCAGCTTTAACTGAGTGTTTGATGTAGAATAATCAGGTGTAAGGAGCTCAAAAAGTTTGAACATTCTCCAACTGATGTTCTTCGCAACGTAGTTAGTTTCATGGTCCAGGACATGAGGTGAAATGTAAATATGCTCTGGTAAGTATTACGAGTCTCTTAAGGTCTAAAGATCGAAGTTGGGAGCTCTTGGTTCGTGAAGATAACGTCAGTTATGGTGATACTTTGCGAGGAGTCAAACCTCGAGCTGATCGCTACGCATGTTACATTCCCATTGTACTTCTAGGGTACATGCAACGACACTGAAACTGTGATGTATTCTGAGGAGTCAACATTATTTCTATTTGTCAACATACAATGCCCACGTAAAGTAAATTTCCTGCACAGAGTAACTTTTTTGACACATCTTTCCAACGCAAATGAAGGCTGTATTGTCAGTGTCATATGGTGCATGCGAAATGACTCACAATATTCTCATGTTTGAAAATTAAGATTTACTACCCAGAAACTTTATGTTCTTTATGTTCAGGAAACGAATAATTTCGTGAGTACATCATCAGGCGACATGAGTGACAGCCATCTCTGATCTGTTCATGGTAATGTTGATATTTATAATGAACATCAAGAGTAATAAAAGTAGGCCTCAAAACAAGATTACGTTCATTGTACACATCAAACATGATGTAGGTTCATGTACATCGGGAAAGTTTTTTCTGATTGTAAAATGTAGTTTGGATAAGTTATTCCTAACTAAATACTCTGTAGTGCAAGTGAGTTTCAATGTTTTAGAGAGCGTATCTTTACTACTCTCGACAAAGTTTCAAGGTGTGAAGGTTACATGATCCGTTGAAGTTGAATGATGAGTGTCGCTATCGGGAGTCTGTCAAAGTATACTAGAACTTTTAATTGAATTGCTTGACAATGTTTAGAAAAGTAGAGCAGTACCATCAACATTTAAAAAGCAAAGAAGTCCCATCAAATCATTTGTAACTAAACAGAGATAAGAGGAGGACTATAGAGGATTTAAAGAAAACATTATCTTGAATGACATCAGACAAACTCTAAATGATATCTATGTGCAATCAAAATGTTCATACACAATATAGCCTCTAGACCCAATTGTGTTGTTTTTTATAAACAAGTTTGACAGCGGTAATTATTGCATAAGAATGATAGTATTGTATGATATATGAAAACATATGTACTATAATGTTTGGTGTTTTAGAGATGATTGCTATGATGTAAGATGTATGTGGATTACAAACAATTAGCAAAAGAATAACTAGATCTATTTATAATCACAGACAAGTAAATATTTGAGTACTTAGAAATGAACAATCTAGTACTACAAGTATATGATAATACAAATTGAAACGGACATATGTCAAAGCACATAATTCATCCACTCCATTTTAAAATTACATATTATTTCTTGATATAAACATAACAACTGAAATATTTTTTTTGTTGTCACCAATTCTATCGAACAATTTGTATAATCACAAAAGTAATATCGTAACTTTTGATTTGGGAAACAAATCAATATCAATATAAGCAATGGAATAGAAGATCTTGGTAGTAATCATAATAGCAAATCATAACCCTGCTTTAAAGAGATTTATATAGATGATTTTATAAAAATACTGATTCATTGTTTGAATTCTTGTTTTCTATGGCGCAATTTAAGCCTAATATGTATATCATATTAAATAATTGATTTAAGCGTTTGAAATTTTTTTTATTAAAGTGTTAGTTGAACTTGTAAACCACATACTTGTTTTTGTAAAAACTTTGCACTATGGAGTTTGATATTTTAAATGCAATCATGAAAAATTTGAGTAGAAACTGTCTAAAACTATTCTTTTAAAAGATGATATTTTATCTTTGCATAATCAAATTTTTCTTATTATAGATGAATTTTTATTTTATGTGATTTTTGGGATTTCGTGTGGGTTTACGCTTAACCTTTGGTTAGCAAACTATAGTTAGTGGCCAGGTTAGTGCTGCCACTATATAATACCTTTTACTTTCGTTGTTTCACCTTGGAGAACTCAATTATAACAGTTTTTACCCAATAAATATAGCCCTATTCGGATGAACCACATACATGTAATGTATCGTCTTGTGTTTTTGTGGTGATTCTCACTTTTACTCTTGTCAGTGTTTGGATAAGTACATGTGCAATCAAGAATCAAAACTAATCTTAATTAAAATCATTATTTCAAAATATCATATCAACTCTTACTTTAAAGAAATCATAAATTAATTAAATTTCTATTCAACATTTACGTACAAATTTTTCTACTTATGAATTATCAAGAATACCTTGGATTCTCAATCACCATATACAAGTAGAAAGTATAACTAAGAAGCTATCCAACATAGAAGCTATAAAATATGGAGATAGAGTATAGCCTATGCTTTGAGTATAGGCTAAATTCCATCTCCAGGTGAGTACAAGCTCTCTTTCTCTCTTGAAATGCTCCCTTACAAATGAGCTAGAAGTTTCAAGATGATCCTAGACCAGCCTCCTTATAAAATAGAAATTCTAACTACAAGCCATATGTTAGACAATTCATATGCTATAGTTTAACTAATCATAGTTAGCCTAGGTTACAATTTAAGTAATAACAATCTATCCTTTAACTAAAGTCTAGGATTTCTTATTCCAATAATCATATGTCTTACATGCGGGACGTATTAGAAGGAGATCTAAAACATTGATTCTCGTGTGACCTAAGATTAACTAAAACTTAGACCAAACCTAAAAAGTTTAGTGTTAAACATATATTGAAACTAGCTATGTATTAGGTTTAACTACTTGTATAATCTAAATGTGCAAAACTTGCAACTTATA